AACTAAAATGGAAGGGAAAAAAAACCCAAACAATAAACACAAGTGATGCACAATACAATTGCTCACCACCCACTGACTGATAACCAGCCCAACCTGAGCAGTGACCTGAGCCTTCCGAGTAACTCCCCCCAGTTTATATACTGGGCATGACGTGCTGTGGCATGGAATACCCCTTTGGCTAGTTTGGGTCAGGTGTTCTGTCTCTGCTCCATCACAGCAGAGCATGAGAGACTGAAAAGTCCTTGATCGGAGTAAGCATTACTTAGCAACAACTAAAACACTGGTGTGTTATGAGCATTGTTCCCAGAGTAAAGCTGAAACACAGCACTGCACCAGCTACTATGAAGGAGAAAAATAACTGCTACAGCTGAATCTAGGACAGTGGGAAAGGAGAAACCACAAAAACAGACCAGCAGCAAAATTACCCCATGTGTCACTACCCCAACACTTTCACAACCTCCACTGAACCACTACAGCCAACCTGCCCCCAACACACCACTGCCCTCTCCAAGCACGGCCACCCCACCACCAATCTTCCCCAACATCACCACAACCACCAGCCAAACTGAAAACCACGGTTGGAAACTCACTGAAATAAGAAAACAATAAAGGGAAAGCCACGGCACCGCATAAAGCTAGTCACCTGGCAGCCATGTCTGTCTAGCATCTCGTGTCTGCTTCCAATGCCTCCACAACCTCGCCTGCATTATGCGCAATTAGCCCAACTACCCCGACCAACCTGCGTGGCCCCCCCCATGCTGCCACCATCACTTTTGGACCACTGCACCATCCCTACCTCCATCCTTTCACCTTCCCTGATGACAACATCCCCTGCAAGAACAGCCATGGATTTGAGCCTCCACTGACTACTTGCATATTTATATAAATTATTCCATTTTATTTGACATGGCTTTTTAAGTATTTATTCAAGTATTTATTTGACAAAACAATAAAGACCTGTTGCAAAAAACTTGTCACAGCCTCTTGTCTTGGAGGCACAGGAATAAGCCTTTGGGGTGGGGGGAAGTGACCTTCACTCAACACCTACTCTAAGCCTTGCTTCAAACAGGCCTGTGCAGATCCCATGCCCCACAGCCCTGTCCACTCTTCTCTTTGGCACCTCCCCAAAGATGAGCTTTCCTCGACTTCTTCAAAAACCTCTACCAGGGTTTATTCATTGTTTATCAGAATCATCTCTTCAGCCCGTATGTCCTCAACATTTTCCACCTCCTATCCCAGTTTAGACTGACTTATGTTTGGCTCTGGAGTCCTCAGTACTAGACATGGGCCTGTTGGAGTGGGTCCAGAGGAGGGCCACAAAAATGATCAGAGGAATGGAACACCTCTCCTATGAGGAAAGGCTGAGAGAGTTGGAGAAGGAAAGGCTTCAGGGATACCTTATTACAGTCTTTCAAGACAAAGGGGAGGTTATAAGAAAGGTGGGGACAGACATTTTAATAGGACCTGTAGCAATAGGATAAGGGGTAATGGTTTTAAACTAAAAGGTGGAAGGTGTCCCTGCTTCTGGCAGTGGGGTTGGAACTAGATGAGCTTTAAGGTCCCTTCCAATCCAAACTATTCTGCCCAATTCTATGAAACACTGGAACAAGTTGCTCAGAGAGGTGGCAGATACCCCATTCCTGGAAGTGTTCAAAGTCAGGTTGGATGGGGCTCTAAGCACCCTGACCTAGTTGAATATACCCCTGCTCATTGCTGAGGGATTGGACTAGATGACATTTAAAGGTCCCTTACAACCCAAACCATTCTATGATTATATGAAGGAGAGGCACAGCAGAGATCGCTTTGACTAGGCTGAATTTGGCTCCTCTTGCCACTTCAGGCATTTTTTTATGACAACACTTTCATTGTGCTGCTTGAAAATACTTTGCAGCATAAACTATTCTAGGCACCACAGACAAAGTGCAGCCATGCACCTCCAACATCACCAGCATAGACCTCCTCTAGTGATGGCACCTAGGTATGCCAAAACATAGTGCACATGCCAGCACCACAAGTACAGCACCCCTCAACATAATGTTGCCTGACAAGATCATGGCTCTCAGCTCATTACCGCCCTGCCACCAACACCATCACACACATTTCCCCTGCTCCAAAACCTTTGATAAAACATGTGACAGCAGCTCTCATATAAGCAGAACATGATCCTTGTTGGAAAGGACCTTAGGACCTTAAAACCTTAGCAAGTGCAACCTCTACCTCCTCAAGCTCTGTAACTAGATTATTATACCTCTGTAACTGGCTCATCTCCACCTCCAGAGGCCTCTTGGACGACACTCCTCTAGGGGCACAGGGGCTCAGGCCATCCCAAACACAAGACCTTTCACTTACCAATAGCCCCATGGGGAGCATCTTCTTTGCTCTCCAGCCACCACAGGCAAGGAAGTAGAGAAAACACAAAACCCCTGCTACAGGGGCACACACATGGGACCACAGCCAGGAGGAGCAACAAAGCCCTTCCCTTTTTTCCTGAAGGAAAAGCCTTTCTTCCCCATTCTCAGGAGCTTTAAACAAAGGAGCTGGGCCAGCTCTATCCAGGAACACATCAAACCATCACCTGCCTATACACAGAGCCACCTCCTTGGAAGCCACCACCTCCACCACCTCAAGGCCCTTTCTCCAGGAGGGGGCTCCCCAGGCTCTTCCAAGCAACATCATTTCACAATCCGTCCAAAGGTGAAAAGATCAGCTAATATGAAAACAAAGGTGACACACAAGTGAAAGGGAAACAGACTACAGTCAACACCGGGACATTACAGACAGAAAAGAGACTTGGGCAGGAAGGGAAAGTTCAGCTGCAGAAAAGACTCAACCACTTCCCTGGGCAGTCTGTTCCAATGCTTTACAACCCTGTCAGTGAAGAAATTGTTCCCAATATCATAGAATCATAGAATTGTTAGGGTTGGAAAGGACCTTAAGATCACCTACTTCCAACCCCCCTGCCATGGGCAGGGACACCTCACACTAAACCATATCACCCAAGGCCTCGTCCAACCTGGCCTTGAACACTGCCAGGGATGGAGCATTCACAACCTCCCTGGGCAACCTATTCCAGTGCCTCCCCACCCTAACAGGAAAGAATTTCCTTCTTATATCCAACCTAAACTTCCCCTGTTTAAGTTTTAACCCATTACCCCTTGTCCTGTCACTACAGTCTCTAATGAAGAGTCCCTCTCCAGCATCCCTATAGGTCCCCTTCAGATACTGGAAGGCTGCTATGAGGTCTCCACACAGCCTTCTCTTCTCCAGGCTGAACAGCCCCAACTTCCTCAGCCTGTCTTCATACGGGAGGTGCTCCAGTCCCCTGATCATCCTTGTGGCCCTTCTCTGGACTTGTTCCAACAGTTCCATGTCCTTTTTATGTTGAGGACACCAGAACTGCACACAATACTCCAGGTGAGGTCTCACAAGAGCAGAGTAGAGGGGCAGGATCACTTCCTTCGACCTGCTGGTCATGATCCTTTTGATGCAGCCCAGGATACGGTTGGCTTTCTGGGCTGCAAGCGCACACTGCTGGCTCATGTTCATTTTCTCATCAACCAACACACCCAAGTCCTTCTCCGCAGAGCTGCTCTGAATCTTTTCTCTGCCCAACCTGTAGCTGTGCCTGGGATTGCTCCGACCCAGGTGTAGGACCTTGCACTTGGCATGGTTAAACCTCATGAGGTTGGCATCAGCCCACCTCACAAGTGTGTCAGGGTCCCTCTGGATGGCATCCCTTCCCCCCAGCGTATCAACCGAACCACACAGCTTGGTGTCATCGGCAAACTTGCTGGGGGCACACTCAATCCCACTGTCCATGTCAGCGACAAAGATGTTAAACAAACATCCAATCTAAACATCCCCTGGCACAGCTTGAGGAAGTGTCCTCTTGTCTTATCATGTGTTACTTGGGAGAAGAGACCAAACCCCACCTCACTACAACCTCCTTTCAGGTAGAGAATGATACAGTCCCTCTGACCTCTCATCCTATCGCTTGTTACTTGGAAAAAAGAGACCAAAACCCACCTTGCTACAACCTCCTTTCAGGTAGTTGTAGAGAGCAATAAGTTCTCCCCTCAGCCTCCTTTTCTCCAGGCTAAACAACCCCAGTTCCCTCAGCTGCTCCTCCTAAGACCAATTATAACTGCTCTAAGAAATCCACACTCTTTACTAGCATTTTCAACATGCTTTATTTATTTATTTATGCTGGCAAATAGAATAAAATTGCCTGGTTTTGAGATGGATGTTCGGGATGTGCAACTGGACAGGGTTTTGCCTGGGAAATCCCTGTACTCACCTTTGACTATCTGACTCTTGCTGTCTCCAGACTCCACATGGAAGACCTGGTACTGACCTGGACCTTTAGCCATGGCATTCATCCAGTGATACTTCTTTTCCAGGTCACTACTCATTGCTCCATTTCTGCCTCTAGGGATGCACTGCATCACTTAATCCTGTGACTTTTTTCTGTTACATACTAGCAAACTTTTTCTCCATGATCCTTACCCTAGTTTTCTGAAAACAAAATTCTTTACCTTTCCACAATCCAGGCTGAGGCTTTTTGTGAATCTAACTCACAGCTTTTCTCACACACCATTTATGTTCTGTATCCAGGTAAGGAAGAAAACATCATATACTCTTCCCCTCCTGCAGCTCACCTGCATTTATTGCCATGATGCATACACAAAGATCTCTACCTATGAGTGCCTCCAAAAACATTCAGATGCACCTACTGGCTGCCAATTTGTGTACTTGCTGTTCAACCTTACCTCTTGGTAAAAGAAAACATTCCCACTCAGGGTTCAACTAGATTTGACAAGATGTCATACTTTTGCTACAACAATTAAAAATTTCCCTTCTCAAAAGCACAAAGCATGCCCACAATATACTACATACAGATAAGCTCTTAGTCACCATCAAATGCACTAATTTGTGTTGCACAAACAATCAATACTGAAGGTAACTTGTTTAAAATTAAATAAGCCAAGCCATTTACTTACTATTGGCAGCCTGGACTGAAGCATCTGGAGATCATCATAACCGTAAATCTGCTTAAAGACAAATAAAAATAAAACATCATTATAACGCTTTTCTCTGACACTTACCAATTTGGGGCTTTAAACAGAGTCTGTTTTAAAGGTGTACAGTTATATGTCGCATTTTGCTATCATGGTGCACTGTAGCATTTTAAGGCTAGTAGAGGTAAGTTTAAAACAGCTTATCACTCTGCTGTTTCTTGATGACAGCAGCCCTCTAAGAATATTACTGTCCCATCTTCAACACTGTTTCCACAGATGTATCATTCATCAACTTGTGAAAAACGTACAGGGCATTCAGATTTGGAAGTAAGAAGAGCAACAGCCTTCTGTGCTTCAATCATCACTTCTGAGAATAGCAGGATTTAAGATTTAATGACTAGACCACAAAGCGACCTATGGTATCCCCTTGTAGTCAGTGTGATACAGAAAAATTATTAGAATAAAGTTCCTGATTCAAGATAACCAAAATACGTTGATCCTGGTCAGACACCAAGCAGCTATGTGCAATCTTTCAAAGTATGACAGAAAGGACACATGGAACATTTCAGCTATTACTATAATATACCTATTCCAGTAACACAAACCTCAATGAGTCTAATTTTACTCAAAGGATCTAAAAACCTGATACCACTGAAAACTAAAGCAACATGCACATTTAGCTTCAACAGCAGCTAAATCAGGTCTGTACCAACAGTTCGTTAGTGTACTATCAACAGTAAACCCCGTGAGTTAATTTCACATATTCTTCAGCATTTGGAACAAGAATTCCAGATGCAATGAGCTGACAGAAATGCCCTGGCATAGACCGCAGCAGGTCTGGAGGGCCCACTTGCACCAGAGTTAAGTAATCAAGGACAGGAACAATTAAATTGCTTACTGGGTAGGCAGCCAGAAGTCCTCCAGGTCCCACAATATACTGGTTATGCAACAAGTGTGGTACACCTTGGGGCAGGTTTGGGGGAGCTTTGCCTGCAGAATAAAAATATAGACACTTTTAACAAGCCTCTAGAGAAGAAAAGGCTTCAGCATTGAGACAATATAGCTCACAAACCCTGGCGGCTTCACTGTCATAGCTTGTAAAGAACAGAACTAAGCAAAATAACTTTGTGCTGGTTGATGAGAATGCTTAAAATAGCCTGAAGACTTTAACCATGCCTCAAAGGAAAGGAAAAAGCACAGGCTGCTTAAGACTGAAAACAGCCCCATCAGAGAACAGTCTGATTTTGTCATTTACTTTGTCCAAGAGGATTACAAGAATTACAGGAAGTCTCCTTTCCTCAATCCGCTCCTGCAGGCAAAATTCAGGCATTGTTGTAAATTCTCTCATTTTTTGCTCTGTTAACACATTCTCCTTTATCACTAGCAATAGACTGGAAAACATGAAATTTTGCCAGCATAATTTTTGTGAGTGACTTATTGCAGCTAGGAATAGCAAAGAGAAGACTGAAACAGCTTCAGTTGCTTCAAAGAAGCAGTGCCAGGAAGCAGAAGAGTTTAAAACTAAATAAATAAAAAATGAACTTTGGCCAGTTATCAGACACTTCATTTACAAGGTATTAGAATTAGAAATGAGAAATCCTTCTGTAAGTTTGATCTTAATATTTAAATCACTTAGTTCCCTCCATAGGATTTCCTTTTAGCAGTTCAGGTTGATTACAGAAACAAAAGAGAATTTAGCATTATTTCCACTTCAGTGCCAGAGGCCTCCCCACCTTCTTTCTCTCTCTGTGGGCCCTTTTTCTGAAGTGCTATTTGTTTTGGAATGACACAGACACCAGACGCTTTTTTCCTTTCTGTACATGTGGCAGTAGGGATATGGCATATGATAATGAGGACACTGCAGTACATTTTGATACTGCCAAATGAATTCAAATCACAGAGAAGACTGAAATTAAAGATGATGTGAATTCACAGCCAAGACAAACTGGGCAAATCTCTAGCCCAAAACTTCCAAAGTTAGAACTGCTCTGGTGTCTATTTATAAAGCTCTTTGGGGATGGAATGTGCTCTATAAATGCCACATAACACCCTAACAAATATTTCAAAAACACAAAACAAGGCGACTTCATAAGCCAACAAATAAAGCATGCTGAAAATGCTAGTCAAGAGTGTGGATTTCTCAGTGTAGTTACGGCTGGTGAGATGCTCAACTGATAGCCCTGCCAACTGAAGTTCTCTGTCTATCCATGTAATCTGTTAATATTGCAAACCTGAAGACACTAAGGGAGCTGCCCGTGTGGAAGCAGCTGGTATAGACACACTGGAAACACTCAGGCCAAGGCTGTTTGTAGTGTTCATACTGTTTGCCATGCTGACAACTGAAGAGGTGGTGCTAGTGGCTGAGGTTGAAACAGCTGAAAAGGTTGTTGAGGGCTGAAGCGAAGTTGTGTTCTCAATACTAGTGTGCTAGAAAGGAGACAAAGAGAATGAGGATCATGGAGCAAATAAACCACAGTGGAAGATGCTGGGGAAAAAACATAACCAAACAAAAAATATCCACAAAACCACCCCAAAACAGCAATCTTTTAAGTAACAGCAGCACATGCAAAAGAAAAAGATACGCATTCTCTATGTACCAAGCAAGCAATGAAGTTGCATGCTTGTGTTTTTTAAATATTCAAAGAAAATTATTACACAAGAGTTAAATTCAAATGACTACATCATCACAAAATTATACAGTAGTAACTCAAATGTCACTCCATGCCATTATTTCTTGCCCTTTGCTTATATACTCTTTTCAGCCAGTACCTGTTACGTTAAATAAACTCCTATATTTTTCCAAAAGACAGCATTTTTCTTCAAAATACAGGACACTGCTATCATGATTTCCTCAGTGCACTTGTAGAATTTAAAAGATTAAAACAGCAGTGCCCCACAAACAGAGTTGATGTGGTAAACTAAAATGCAGACCAGATCTATTACAGGAACACATAATGATAAAGGATGTTCTTGGTTTGAATCCAGCACCATACAGTGCCTTAGCTGTAAGCTGATCACACTTGCAAAACAGTGTCATCAACACAAAGACACCAAAACAACTCTGACAACAGAAAAGAAGGATGTTTGGATAAGTGTAAATTTTTAAGTTACATATGCAGTAGGGATGGAGCAATATAAACCAAAATACAGGCATAAAGAAAAGCAGTAACGTATCTGCACACCCCAACTGGGATTGTACAGAGGTACTCCATCACAGAACAAGGCAGCGTCTCACTTGTTTGTGCAACCTCATCTAGAACACTGTGTTCAATACCATTTGACTTCTTAATTCAAATGCATTAAATATACAGGTGACAATAATGCCATATGGTAAACTCTAAAAACCATCTGTCATGATATGCATCATTCTATCACCTGCATTTTGCCAGCTAACCTCTCCAGTGGAGAAGTTTCAGACAGCTAGGTTAAAATGTTGGGGTTTGTTTTTTGTTCTGCTTTGGGGTGGTGGTTTTGTTTGTTTGTTTTTAACACATTTGTTACAAGAAATTCTTTATTCTATCCTCCCTTGCTGGCATGAAAATTTCCTCTACAGTTGTGTGACTGGCAAGTCTCTGTAATAGCTATTCTTGATCTAGTACAAATCCCAAGTGCTGAAGACTTTTTTTACCACTAGAGGGCTGGCAGTCCTTCAGATAAGGCTCTTGTTTGTGTTCTTGCTGTACTGGGACACAATGAACTTTAAGAGAGGGTCTTAATCATCAGATAAACTGATGATATGCCAAAAATCTGTTGAAATCCAAATAGGACTTACCACATGTGATGTGCTTGAAGACAACACTGAAGCAGGGGAGAGGCTGCTCTGATGACTGGAAAGGGAACTAGAAAGAAATTGCAAAGAAAATTTTTCCTAGGACATTTTTAAATATGTATATTACACACATATATACACAAACACAGAGTAGGTAGTAGGATATTAGTTAAAGAAAAAAAAATGTAGGTGTGTGTATACACATACACAGCAGGATATTAAAGGAAAAATTGTCTGTAAGTGATGTGTGTATATACATGTATGTATATGTATATATATAGAGACAGACAATTACAGACTTTTTCCTTTAATTAATATCTTACTACTGTTTAATAAAAGAAACTGAAGTACAGAGACAATTACTAACAAGAAACATCTAAACCACCATTCATTTGTATTTATCAATTTACTATCTGTTTTGAAAAAACAACAGCTGATTCAGGAATTACATAGCAACAAATCAAAGACATGTAAAGTCCAAAAACCAAAAGAAGGTTCACATAGCACATGGTTTGTTTCACATTCTTTCCCTAAGCAACTGCTACTGCCTGCTACAGGGCACAGGTATTAATTAGGTGAGGCAGTGCTTTGGTTTGACTCATTATGGTATTTCTCACGTAACCTGCATAACATTAGTTCAACCAATTAGAACTGCAAGGTATTTGCCCCACAACTCTACCAAAAGCCCGAACACACTCTCAAAAGACAGGGCTCAAAAAAACCACCCAAACCCCAAAACAAAGCAAACAAAAACCAACACCCCCCAAAACCAAAACCAATAAAACAAAAAAAAAAAAAAAAAAAAAGAAAAAAAACCCCAACCACATAAAAAACCCAAGCAAACCACAAAACCAGTAAATGAAGAGCATCTGTGAAAGCCCAAAACTTAGACATACTACTACAGAATCTGGCAATTTAATCAAGGCTGGTTCATACCACCACACCCCACCAAAAGCCATTTCCTCCTTGAAAAGATGACTCAGAACTATCAATTCAGTTTTATACATGTACTGCAAAATATGAACATAAAGAATCCCCTGATGAAAAACATCCGCAGATAACTTTGTTTTAGGAAACAACTCTGCTTTAACACCACTGATATAAGGAAAGCAAGTGCCTGGAAAACATAGGGTTAAAATACTTTTAACTTAACTTAGGTCTAAGGTAGACAACAATGTTTGTGTTGTCTGTGGTGTGATAATAGAATTTAGTAGTCTTACTAACAAGAGTGAATTATTTCTTTCCATCCTTCTAATGAGGGAATTATTTCTTACAATCCTTCTAATTATCAGTTAGTTTGGAGACAGTGACTCCCGAACATCTGCTAGCTTAGGATACTCCTTGTCTGCCCATCCTGTTCCGCTTGCAATAAATTTTGTACGAAGGTCACACTGTTCTAAACCTTTGCCAGCTATCAGAAACTTGTAGATATGGCTGGTTTCAGCTAGTTTTGTGGTTACTGGAGCATCCAACTGTGCCAAAGGTGAAAAGTGCACCGTGAGGAAGACTGCTTACTTCATCTTGAAGACCCCCGCCCAGGACCATCGGAAGGCAGTGCGCAAGCGCCAAAAGGGAGGAGACTTATGATAATGAGTACCTAAACTAATTGTAATATCCCCGCTGCTCTCTCGGGAACCTAATGAATATGCATGTTTGTGTGTAATAAATATCTGCTTGCTTAACCCCTCGGTGTGCAAGTTAGGAGGAGTGATCCCCCTTGCACCCAGAGCTGTAATAAACATACCTGCTTTATAACTCTCTCTGAGTTGTAGAGTGATTCCATGCTTCACCACCTTTTTCCCCTAGCTGATCACGCCTGTGAATTTCTGTCAGTAACAGCAGCATATAGTTTGGTGCTCAAAAAGCCTCTCCTCATGAGAAATCAGAAACAAGAGAGATCCTAACCATAACAAATATTTTAGTGTTCCCTATGGAAATAGCCACAAGAAAATACAGCAGTTTTCATAACAAAGCTGCAGGCTAAATTATATGTCTTAATTTAAGGGCAAACACTTCTGCCAGCTCTTCAAGGTGTGGGACAAGAATAAAACTCGGCAGTTTCATAGATTAATTTTACTTTGACTCTTTAAAACTGTTCCCTGTCTGCAGGAATTATAATGACACCACTTCAGGCAGCAAAGAAATAAGTGGTTCAGTCCAACATGTGGTTTTAAACCACTCCCTCCCACACTCTCCCCAGCTCTTCTAATAAACCTTAATTGACCATCTGACCTATGGTAGGGACACAGACAAGAGCCTCCAGAACAACCAAGTCAGACGTGCTTGGAATTCAGGCATCATCTTTTCATGGTGCTTGATATCTGTCCAACAGCATCAATCCTCCAATTAAATGTGCACAGCTTTTCAACAAACAAATATGGGAAGACGCTGTTTCTAATGTGAATGGAATAATTCTTATTTGACACATTTACCATTTTAATCAACAGAAAAAAAATGTGTATTAAAAGAGGATCAACCATGTCCTAGCTGTGAAACAGAAAAAAAACCCGTCCTGGGTTCAGCAGTAGCAGTCATTTTTCTCCTTCTTAGTAGCTGGTGCAGTGCTGTGTTTTTGACTTTCAGCCTGGGAACAGCACTGATAACACTGATGGTTTTAGTTGTTGCTAAGTAATGCTTACCCTGACCAAGGACTTTCTGAGTCTCATGCTCTTCCAGGGAGGAGGGGAAGCCAGAAGGAAGCAGAGACAGGACACCTGACCCAAAATAGCCAAAGAGGTATTCCATACCACAGCACATCATGCCCACTACATAAGCTGGGGGCAGTTACCCAGAAGGGATAGATCACTGCTTGGGTGGGGCTGTGTATTGGGCAGAAGGTGGTGAGCAGTTGTATTCTCTTCCCTTGTTATTTCCCTTATCATTATTACTATTGGTGGTAGCAGTAGTGGTTTTGTGTTATACCTTAGTTACTGGACTGCTCTTATCTCAACCCATGGGAATTACATTATTTCGATTCTCCTCCCCATCCCTCCGGGAGCAGGAAGGGGGGGGAGTGAGAGAGAGATTGTGTGGCTGGACTTAAACCATGACAGATATCCCATCAAAATAGTTTCTTATATTAACAAATAAAGTACAAAGGTGAGTATTAAAATATAATTCAACCATTATAGCCTCAGATGTCACCTGCCTGAGGGTGAAGTTCAAGTAACAGGCACTGAAAAATCAGACATAGTGCAAATGAGCTAAGCTGTACTAAATACACTTCCAGGAACACCAATCTGATATTTCAAAGTGTCTTAAGAAAATGGCTTAGGAAAAAAAACAAACAAAAACAAAAAAAAAACACCTGCAAAAAAAAAAAAATAACCCAAAGAACCCACCACACAAAAAAAAACAAACACCAAAAAAAAACCCACCCCCAAACACAAACAACCAAAACACCATGCACTGCCCTCATGGAATTATTTAATTTTTAATTCTAAGAAATAGAAATATAAATGAAGCTACAATATTTCAAAATCAGCCAGGAAGTAAACCATTAAAGAATGATTTCAAACATACAACACTAAACAAACAGCAAGCACTGTGGACAAAGTAAGAAAAACAAAATGAGGGATTAAATTTAGCTCCCATGATTGAAACAAGAGCCCCTTGAAACACAAAGTTGCTTATATACCACAAAAACTTGAGGGCAGCAGCTGCGCTACCATTAAAAGGCAGCCCAGAGCTCATGCTTTGCAACCAGAAATATCCTGGTCTCTCCTAGATCTCTCTCTACTTAATGTTAATGTCAGAAAAGGGGACCCAGGTGTCTGACAGCCCCCATACACAATCACCCTTACATTTGCTCTTTTCCCAAAATGGAAACCTTTTCAGTTTATCACAATTCGTCCTGTACCTGCTTAACTGGGAAAGTGAGCTGCTGGCCAAATCACTGGACTGATGCAAGCTGGACAACATTGCCATGTGCTGCGATGCTGAAGGCAGAAGCGAGGCAGTGGTGGATACCATGCTAGGCAGAGAACCAGCAGGAGATAGCAAAGGAAAAGGCTCTGGAACTGATGAAGTAGCTGCAACAAGTTAAAAAGAGGCATTCAAAGACAAATTCCAGCATACCTGACATCCCAGCCTGGATCCAGGAACACAACAGTATTCTCCCCCCATTTTACAAAAACCTGACCGTTAAGAACCAGTAACAGTATCAAGCAGTCTGGCTATTAATGAAAATTCAAATAGCAACAGAACTATCTTTTTTTCCCCTTTAAGCTCTTCACCTACAATAGATTTATAATTTTCACATGTACAATCTTATGCACTTTACCTCCCACTATCTAGATTACTAACTTTCACTTGCAAGTCAATCTTCATTTTAAAATTCCTTGCATTTGGTTCCACAAACAAGTCATTTGTGCTTTTCAAGGCACTGTACAAATATGCTTTTACCTTCAGCTCTGCTTCTTCATTCCAACCTACACAGCACCTTTGATATCTGAGACTTGGATAACTGGAGTGTGAGGGCACATACAACTTACCAGTTTGGAGAACAAGTCAAATGTATAATGCAATAGAATAAAAGAAGCTCCAACTGAGCACAGCATTAAGCACTTTCAACGGCTAAAGAATTGTCAAATATTGTCTTACTTTATTTGACCTAGATAACAAAAAGCATTTAGCATTAATATTACTTTTTAGGCTATACAGAGTAGAACAGATGTGCCTTTCCAAAGGATCACTATACTGTAATAAGACACAGAACAACTCTGCTGCCCAACGTAATACCCAGCTGTTTCTATACTTACCTCTTGTCCTACGATGATAAGACACAGAATTAGAGTCACTTGCCCATCAATAAAATTCAGAAAGAGAGCTGAGCCCTGCCTTTTGCCAGGCCATGCTTCCATACCACATCAGAGATCACTAGCCAGTGGATCATCACTAACTTGCAATGCACATGAAGACAGTCTTAGAATGGTCATGCTTGGAAGTTACGCATCACAGTTTGTTCATGTTATTGGTTTGGTTTCCTCACTAAATGACCCAAGTCAGGTTGCTGGATGGGGTGCTATGCAAACAGAAATCAAGAGATCTTGGCCTTGGCAATAAGTGATGGTAACTGACAACAGAGAAGGAAATTAAAGTGACAAACAGAAACACAGTTATGAAGGCAACTGTATCACCTGATACCTCCTGGCAAGATACATATACAAATAAGTAAATAACATTTACAACTCTCAATATATTTAGAGCAGGGTTCCATTCCTGAAGTAAAAAGGGGTCTTCATCAAGACCCCTTACAAGATACCTGAACACAATGTGCAAAACAAAGACAACCAGGAAACAAGTGGGATGGTCAGAAGTATAAAACACCAGCCATGCTTTGCACTAAGGGTTTACGAAGAACGAGATCTGGATATTAAAGGACAGCAGCAAAGATGAGAGATGAACAACTAAGAATATTATCAGCACATACAGTAGGGAAAAGGTCAGTACTTTCAAATGTTAAGAATAGAATTTCAAAATAGTTTGGATGCATGAAATAGATACATGATAGAAGACTGATTCCAGTTTACGTGTTTGAGATGCGGGGGGAGAGGAAGTTCTCTCAGAACTGGCATAGAAATAATAAAGCCATTATAGAATAACTATAAAAATATTAGGAATTATCATAGAATGGTTTGGGTTGGAAGGGACCTTAAAGATCATCTAGTTCCAACCCCCTTGCCACAGGCAAGGACACCTTCCGCTAGACCAGGTTGCTCCAAGCCCCATCCAACCTGGCCTTGAACACACTTAATTCTCAGATCTTTGTTTTACATAAACAAAAAGACAAGTCCTGTAGTGAATTTTATAAATTTTTTATTAGTTCTGTATGTAAGACTAAGAAAGTTTTCCACTTGAAAAGCTGGTTTTATATATAACAATCTTTTAAGTGGTAACTTTTTTGGTATATACACTCTTTCAGCTCACTGAAATTTAACTTGGCATTAACAAAACACTGTTTACAGATCTGAATACTCAAAACTTCAGACCCTACCTGAAGAGATGTTTAAGAGGATGACAGACCTAAAATCTAAAATTGAAGTGCTGGAATTCCAAAAGATGTTAATTCACACTGCTGCTCTTGAAAACTTCCACAGAGCAGCACATAAAGGTCAGAATGAATGCTATAACTATTTTAACTCCAGGAAGAGAGCTGTAGGGGTGCTACAACTGAAATACCTCATTAGAAACAGGCCAAGATGAAGGTAACAGTAATGTCTGTATCAGAGCCAGTACTGTTTTACTGTTACTCCACTGCAAGGCAGCAAGCTACCTGGCAGAGGGAGCATGTTACTCACAGGCTTGTAACGGGACATAAGTAGCACTATGTCCAGCAAGAGGTGCATTCAAAGAATGTGACTGTTTCATTATAGCTAAATGCTACTCACAGCTTCACAACAGAGAACTGGAAGAACTGCTAAGTTTGATATTAATTTTTAATTTTATATTTTGTTTTGGTTTTGGGCAGATACAGTCAAAAGAAAAATCAGCTGCAAAGCAGCTTCTCTAATTCTGAGACTGCTTAGGTTTGCAGATTTAATAGGGCTGCTTTCATACTTCAGTTTTAGTCAAGAAGCAAGCAATGTATCTTATGCAAGTACAAAATAAACCCAAATGGGTCATCCAAAAATTAGCCAGTGAGAACAATATAAAAACGTAAAACAGATGTCACCAATACAGTTGTGCACAAAGCAAGTAGTAGGAAAGATCAGAAAGTGCTGTGCGCAACCAAGTTTTGTAAACTTACGCTCAAGAGTTGCCTGTGTTCTAACACCACTGTGCCTGTTCTGTAAACAAAGGAGAAATTAATAAATCATCTTAAATGTATATTAAATTTTCAGAATGACACATTGAACATTCTTCATGCAAAATTCTATATTCATTCTAAGTTGAAAGACAAAAAAGAGGCAGAAATATAACTTTTCACTGCCTTTAACAAAACCACATAATAAAGTGTCAAGTGCAAGGTGTTACACCCATCAGCAGGAGATCTTCTCATTTACTACATATAACAAACTTCAGGTGCACACCAATATAAAAAAAAAGAATTGCATTAACATATAGGAAATGGTTGTGCATTTGATCTAATACAACTCACAATTTTAACTATCCAAGTTACACAGAGACACCATTTTTTTTTCCATTGAAAGACTTAAGAAGCACCAGTTGGTTTTTGGATAACAATGGAGTACAGAAGTTGACAGTCTACACTTGATCCTCACCAGTGCATATGAGCTAGTGCAGAAGACAAGTGTGACTGAGCCATTACATAACAAAGGCCAGAAGTAAATAAACTTACAAATTATGACAAGTTCCTTAAACATTTAATAATTTAAGTTCTCTTAAAACAAACCTACATTCCACATACAAAGAGAGTAAGTGCTTTTGAATATCTCCCAAGAGAGATCCTCTCTGTCCTAGATTAGATCTCTCCTTATACTTTTTAAAATAACACATGAAACTAATTCCCACTGCTGTTTAAATCCAATAAAAAGAATACAGCTGATGGGGACACAAACAGCTTGAGATCCTTTTTCCAGGTGCCATATAAATTCAATAAATAATATACCTTTGGATATAAACTGTCAAGTTATTGAAAAATACCATAACTAATATTTATACACAGAAAAAGTTCCTTTTTAAGAATCTAAGCTTCGGGGAAGGAAACTCAACTAGAACGTTAAGTATTACTAAGAAAAAAGGTCAAATGGCAATTTAAAAGGTAAAAAAAAACCAAAACCACCAAACAAAAACACCATAAAATCAGAGGCTTTTATATCACAAAAAAAAAAAAAGCTACACAATAGGAAACAAACAAGCAAACAACACAGTGACCTTGGGAATCAAAAATACCACTTGGCTTGGTTAAAATATTAACATAACAGGGCAATACAAGTCTAACACAGATAAGAATATTCACCTTTTTCAAGGTCTTATTCCTGAAATTCACTCACCGTAACTGCAACAGGGGTTGATTCAGATGTAGTCATGGAGCTTTGGTACGCTATCCTACTATGCACAGAAGTCTGGTCATAGGAGGAAGTTGTCACTGAGCTAGTGCCCTGGGAAGAGCAAGTGAGACTGGAAGAGGTAATGGCAGAGGTTGTGCAGGTGGACTCCTGTACTGTATTGGATATTGGCAAAGAGGTATTCAAAAAATCACTGGAAAAAGTAAAAATTATTTATCATCTTAGTAAATGACATCTCAAACACCTTCATAAAAATATCAGCTCCTACACAGTTATCTAGAACTACCTTAAACATGTAGTCAAATCTATACTATTTATAAAACTAGAGAAAAAAAGACAAAAAAAACCCAAAATCTAAAATTAAAAAAAAAAAAAAATTTTTGCCTTTGTCCCCAGTAATCACTGCCCAACAAAGCGTTTTCACACAAGCATTTTTCAGTCATGTTACTTCCACATTCTTAAAGGATAAATTAATGATCATAATCTCTCTTCTTTTAAACAACCAGATCCATAAAGTCTGGTATATTATGAGAAACACCCAGTCTCTTTTATAATAGAATTCTAACATCTAAAAGAATAAACTATGCAAAGAGGAAAAAATATTTTAAAACATGCAGGAGTGTTTTACTTTCTAAACAGCTTGATTTATAGAACTAGAAATTAATGCGGAAGTTAATTTTTACTAGTATTTCTGAATTAACTTTAGGAAGCTTTTTGCTGAAGCCAATTTTTGAATGAATATTTTTTTTAAAGGGTCACTGGCACATTGGCATTCATCATTGGCTATTTCAGCATTTCAGTAAGAGTTTCTGCATACTGAAAGACTGGCTTCTTTTCTCATCCCATAGGAGCATCAGGTCTGTAATCTGGTGCCAACCTACAGACATGCAGATATGGTACAAGGGTCATCTCTCCTGCATCAAAAGCAGAAAAATTCGGGTTGTGAGGAACAAACCCTCAAACAAATTTGAAAATCAGGACAATTAAACATGAGAAAGCAATCCGATAAAGGGTAGCTTATTATAAGGTTATTTACATTCATGTCATATCTAGCTTTTTATCAACCCATCCAGGGAAATCTTGATTGTCATTCAAAAAGAAATTTCTCCTTTAAGATGCCATACACAGAAAATAGCCTTAAAAGTCATCATATTTCCCCCTTCCGTTACATGTTAACTGTGCCTCAATGTTTTTGGCACAAACCTAACTCCCTAAAGAAGACATGAAAGAATGCACAAGGGGAGCTCACACATACTTTACAGATTTTGAGCACAACCTATTGTTGGTCGCCTGGCTGGCAATCGCACTACTTGAAGTTGATCCAAACTCTAGGAGTGCAGGCTCTGATCCAAACTGAACATTTAACCCTGTCACATCTGCTGATCCAGGCATCTCCACTGCAGAGGCAGGAATCTTAAAGGAGGAAAAAAAGCCATAATTGTTTTGCATTTGTATTACTATTATAATGACAGATGTCAGTAACTGACACCCTCTCCTCCCTTAACTACAGGCTTCTTCAGTTACTGCCTCAGCCTTACTGCTAACTACATCTGCAACAACCCCCCACTTTACATCCCATAAGTTAACTACATTCTTGCAACCAGAAATTAATTCATTGATTCTGTGCCCTGATCTGGAGCTGAAAGAGTGAGCCACACTATTCTAGAATATCAAACCATCATCTGTATCTGTCCCCTTCAGCAAACATTCAGATTGTGGCTACCAAATCAAAGAAAAAACAAAAACAAAAAAATAAAACAAACAAAAAAACAAAACAAACCAAGAGAAAAAACAAAACAAAACAAAAAAAACCCCACAAAAACCATAATCACTTGCAAGAGTAATTTTCCACATAGAGCAATCAGACATGTGCTTGGAAAAGATAAAATCATTGTATTTTGGACCTAGAAACTATCCAACTTAGAATTTCCTGCTTTATAATCAAGAAACAGACCATGGTCTTCGCTCTCCTTCTCCGTAACAACTTATATAGAATAGAACCATAGAATTTAGGTTGGAAAAGACCCTTAAGATCATCAAGTCCAACTGCAAAACCCAGCACTGCCAAGTCCACCACTAAACAATGTCCCTAAGCACCACATCTTTTAAATGCCTCCAGGGATGGTGACTCAACCACTTCCCTGGGCAGCCTGTTCCAATGCTTGACAACCCTTTTGGGGAAGAAATTTTTCCTAATATCCAATCTAAACTTCCCCTGGTGCAACTTGAGGCCATTTCCTCTCATCCAATCAACTTGTTACTGAGACCAACAGCCACCTCGCTACGACTTCCTTTCACTTAGTTGTGAAGAGCAATAAGGTCTCCCCTCAGCCTCCTTTAGACTAAACAACTCCAGGTCCCTCAGCCATTCCTTGTAAGTCTTGTTCTCTAGACCCTTCACCAGCTTTGTTGCCCTTCTCTGAACTGGCTCCAGCACCTCAATGCCCTTTTTGTAGTGAGGGGCCCAAAACTGAACACAAGTGTCATGTACTCTTCCCAAGCCCTGCTGGCCATGCTATTTCTGATAGAAGCTTTTGTATGTTTATACATAAAAGGAGAAGACACCTCTCAATTACCCACCTTGGATGCTGGAACTATCCTCCGTTTTGGTGGTTTTATCTGTTTCTGCTGGGTTTGATGGGCAGTCACTGTTTGGTTATCCATAGATATAGTGGGGGGTTGTAACATTTTGCCAACAGCTGTAGATTTGTCTGCTGGCGATGGCTCTCTGAGTTTTATCTGGGAGGAGGAGGACTCCAGCCCAGGAGGAACAGGAACAGCCTGCATTTGTTGTTGCTGTCGCTGGGTCAGCTGGCTCAGAACTGGGGATGGTTCAGGCTGGGATTTAAAGTCTGGTCAGTGTTAAAAAAAAATAAACATCAAAGTTAAAGCATTAAACTCTGCTCTTCATGATTTGACTCTTTATGAAATAACCTGGGTGACTTGACACACTCAACAGCTATGAGTTTATAGAGTGTGCAAGTTCCTTCAGACATCACGAGTTTCACATTGTATATTATTATTGCAATGTGCAAGCTGCGCCTCACCTAAAAAATCCACTGCGCAGGCTGGAAGGGCTTACTCTCACTTGTCTGTAATGGACAGGTGAGGGTCGAAACGGTAGGTAACAAGGTGCATGGGAAGCTGCAGATCCAACCTTGCATGTGGGCGGACCACCGCATGGGTAGCTCGAGATTGCACAGGAGATGACAGTCCTGGTCGGACACTTACTGATTGCCTAAGCACCCTTTTTTCCAACCAGATTTGCCTATCCCACATGCCCTTGGTCATCGTGCTTGTAGTAAGCATGGTTAAAGCCCTTCCCAAATCTTCGCTCGCGAAGCCAAGCCATCAATAATGCCAACATTTTATATTCTCTACTTTAAACAAACAGCTGTGGGCTGGGGTTTTTGTGTGCTTTTTTGGGCTGGGCTTTTTGTGTAGGTTTGCTCTTTTTTATTATTTTTCAAAAATATGAAAACAAACCTATCTATACAGTCACACAATATTATCAAACATTAGGCCTCAAAAATCAGATTAATCAAACACTGCAAGTCTCACTGTAATTAACTGCTGATAAATTGTGATTACTTACAAGGGGTCTGGAGTTGCAATTTATGGGTATTATGAGTTAGGATTTCCTACCCCTACAATGGAGATTTTCAACACAAATAGGAAGTCATCTACCATCTCAATCTAGCTGAAAGTCAAGAGACACTGGACACTGCTGAAAGCCAGGCAGTGGATCAGAGCACTAGCCAACAACTGTAAGAGATCCACAGCATGTGCAATGTGAAAGTTTTTAGTTTATTCAGATGGTAAAGTCCATTAGAAAGCAGCTTAAAATGTACATAAACTTTTTTTTTTTTTTTCCCCCAGAATTGCTGTGTATAAAAGATTATAACTGCTACCAAATTGGCTGCTTATCTATCTGGAAGCATACACATGAGAGATACAAAACCTATCACACTTCCCAAGGAAAATGCTACCAGGAACTACACTGGAAAAAAACAAATTTGCAATTTTCACTGTTTCTACTAATTTTATTCAATTAAATTAAAAATCCATACAATTATGAATAGAGAAAATGGGCAACCTGCACCATTCTCAGCATGCAGACTTCACACTAGGGAAAGAACACTGAGATGTGATCCACATTATGAAGAAATTATATAGTACTCATTCAAAATTCATGTAATGGTTAAAAGAGAAAAATTGGGGGAAAAAAGACAAAATGTGGTACAACCTTATGCTCACCTAGAAGCAGCATAGCCACAATGAAAATAAGTATTTTCCAACATTTGTTGAGAAACAAAGTCACATCAAAGTTCCACTTAAATATTCAATCACATTAAATCAAAGATGTCATTACAGAAAGGCTCAACAACTTCTAAAGATGAAATGGCATTTATAGATAGATTTAAGCCTATCGAAACTTAGTTTGTGATATACTCACAATGTCTATTACCAGCAAGTAAGTGTAACTACTACTATGTTGTAACCAGTTATATTATTAGGATTATATTTTTTAGAAAAAAACTTTTTATTTAAGGCCATTTTAAACTGTCACTGACATTAAGAAACCTTACATGCTAAAAGAAAGAAAAAAGAGAGAGAAAACTATGTCACAACACTTACCAAACTGACTAAGGACTGAGGACTGAATAACGGGTGGTTTTAGATCCCAGGATGATATGGTAGTTGTGGTGGTGGTAGAGATACTATTGTTTTCTTGAGAGGTAAACTGATCCAGCGCTGGAGATTTTAATTGGTCCAAGATTTGGGATCCAGTAGAGTTTGCCAATTTAGAGGATCTGAGTTCTCCAAAGCCAGAACAAACAACTGCAGACTGCCAAAAGACAAAAAAAGAAGAGGGGAAAGAGTGAAGTATTCAAAAAATAATTTGAACATAACCATAGGGGATCAATGCCTACAGATGCAATCTGGCAGCAACCAAAACCTCTTTATTCCTAGATTACAAATAAAGGAACAATAAAACATTCAGCAGTTGTAGCATATGTCCAGATCCTCTTTGGTTATCACCGCACAATGGTAAAACCCACAGGTTGATAAAAGAACAGTTTAACAAAATTAAAGTACAATATGATACTAATACTAAAGGGAAAAAAGGAAAAAAAAAAACCCAGACCAACCAAAAAAAACCCAAACAAACAAGAAAGCAAAGCAGAAAAAAAAAACCACAAAAACAAAACAACAAACCAAAAATCCAACAGTGATGCACAATGCAATTGCTCCCCACCTGCTGACTGATACCCAGGCCAACCAGAGCAGCAATTTGGGCCTTCCGGGTATCTCCCCTCAGTTTATATACTGGGCATGACATGCTGTGGTATGGAATACCCCTTTGGCTAGTTTGGGCCAGGTGTCCTGTCTCTGCTTCCTCACAGCTTCTTGTGCCCCTCCTCACTGGCAGAGCATGAGAGACTGAAAGGCCCTCAATCAAGAATAACTAAAACATTGGTGTGTTATCAGCATTGTTCTCAGACTAAAGCCAAAACACAGCACTGCACCAGATACTAGGAAGAAATTAACTCTATCCCAGCCAAAACCAGGACACACCAATACAACTTCCACAACTGACTGCAACAATACTGATACACTTTAATCCATGCATCTCAAAATAGCATGTATTTACTAATAGTTGAACTGATTTTCAGAGAATACATGCAAATGCCCAATTTCAAGCCCTCACAACTGACTCAGAAATAAGCAGGTTTCCACAAAAAGCAGTCAGATAAGTGCTAGGAAATAACACACTGCAGTTTTCTAGCATAGAAGTCTTCAGTATAAACAAGCAATTTCATCATTTCAGCATGCAGTAAACACATCTGCTCTCTACTCAAAAATTAACACAAGTACTTTGTGTAAACCAAGAAACAACTACTTCACAAAGCCAGAAAAAAAAGTAATCTTTTTTTATGTGTGAATGTAAGGAATGGAATTAATAATTCACTGCAACCTGAATTTTATAAATACTGAATCATCTCATAAATGACCACTACTGGAAAAGCTGTTTAACCTGAAATATTTACTCATGAAGAATATTTAGAAAGCATAAGATAATTTTACCAGACTTTGAGGAGAATAAGAGTTTACAGCACTGGAGATGCCAGTTCCTGATGCCATCTGGGTGCTGTGCTGTGAATTTGTGAAGACGAGGGCTTGGCCAAAGGTCTGCTCTTGTGAAGCCTCAAATGAGTTGCCTTCTGTCTCTTGGATAGAGGTCACAGGCTTTTGAATCACTGTTACCAAATCAATGCTATAAGAAAAAGCAAAGTTTGGCTGGAGTAAACATGATGATTAGGCTACACTGAAATTGGAGAAAGCACTAACAATACTAAAGATGCCATACCGGCAACAGAATTATTACTAAGTCTTTTCAAACGTTGCTTGTCTGCCATACAAAAAGAAGCAAAATAGAGGTTTTTGACAGAAAGTAAAATTCTGCTAGCCAAAACCTTCCACTACAGTTAAAATATAAATTATCTTTGCTCTCTTTTCAAACATTATCAAATTTGTAACATTATTATCACATAAATAATCTATAAGATTAATATAACCAAGTAACCAGAGACACATCAAAATCATAGAATGGTTTATGTTGGGAGGAACCTTAAAGCTCATCTAGTTCCAATCCCCTGTCATGAGCAGGAAAACCTCCCACTAGACCAGGTTGCTCAAAGCCCCATTCATCCTGGCCTTGAACACTTCCAGGCAGCCACAGCTTCTCTGGGCAAACTGTGCCCGTACCTCACCAGCCTCATAGTAAAGAATTTCTTCCTTGTTATCTCATCTAAATCTCTCCTCTTTCATCTTAAAGCCATTCCCCCTTGTCCTGTCACTACATGCTCTAGCAAAAACTCCCTCTCCAGAATTCCTGTAGGCCCCCTTTAAGGTACTGGAAGGCTGATCTAAGGGCCTCCCCTGAGCCTTCTCTAGTTAAACAATCCCAACTCTCTGAGCCTGTCTTCATAGGAGGTGCTCCAGCCCTCCGATCATCTTCATGGCCCTCCTTGGGACTCACTCCAAGAGATTCACGTCCCTCTTGCATTGTTGCCTCCAGAGCTGGATGAAGTGCTCCAAGTGAGGTCTCACCAGAGCAGAGTAGAGGAACAGGACCACCTCTTTAGGCCTGCTGGTCATGCTCCTTTTGATGGAGCCCAGCTTATGGTTGGCTTTCTGGGCTGCAAGTACACACTGTCAGCTCATGTTGAGTTTCTCATCAATCAACATCCCCAAGTCCTTCGCCTCAGGGCTGCTCCCAATCCTGTGTCCGCCCAGCCTGTAGTCCTGTTTGGGATTGCGCTGACCCTCGTGCAGGACCTTTCATTTGGCCTTATTGAACTTCATGAGTTTTCACTGGCCCACCTCTCAAGCCTGTCAAGGCCCCTGCACATGGCATCCCTTACCTCCAACACGGGATCTAAGTCCTACCTCTGTATAGGGTGGGTATGAATAAAGCCACACATGCACCAATTGAGTGAATGTGTGATCACATGGAAGTCACAAAAGCAGCAGAAATAAAAGCTAAGTTTCTCAGATGGTAGGCACATATCCAAAATTAATCTACCACACATAGGTGAGCAGGATGAGAAACATTAATTATCTTATATTTAGAATTAATTACTAACCCCTAGCATAGGTTTATCCAAGGAAAACCAAAGCATTCAGACAATAAACCTACTCCAAAAACTCTGACTTCAGTTTATCCTAAATATACTTCAGGTTTCTGCTGAAGAGCTGCTTCCAGCACTTTCATTGGCATAGAAATCTTAATGCCTAAACATTTCTTATCTTGGCACATAAGAACAAAAATAATAATCACAAAAGAACCACAAAACAATACACACAGCAAAACCAACCAAACAAACCAGAAAACAGCACATGCATACCAAACACCAAAACATCAGAATTTGATTCTTCTACAGTGTTGTGGTTTAGACCCAGCTGGTAACTCAGCACTACGCAGCCGTTAGTTTTTACCATACACACACCCACAAGTGGGATAGGGAGGACAATCTAAAGAATGTAAACCCCATGGGCTGAGACAGGAACACTTTAATAACTAAAATACAATATAATACTACTAATAATAATGATAAGGGAAATAACAAGCAAGAGAATGAAAAACTAAAAGGGAAAAAACAATAAACCCAAGTGATGCACAATACAAGTGCTCACTACCCAACGACTGATACCCAGCCCGACCCAAGCAGTGATCTGGGCCTTCCAGGTGGCTCCAACCGGATTATATACTGGGCATAATGTGCTGCGGTATGGAATACCCCTTTGGCTAGTTTTGGTCAGGTGTCCCGTCTCTGCTCCCTCCCGGCTTCCCATGCCCCTCCTCACTGGCAGAGCATGAGAAACTGAAAAGACCTTGATCAGGGTAAGCATTATTTAGCAACAACTAAAAAAGTGGAATGCTATGAATATTGTTCTCAGACTAAAGCCGAAACACAGCACTACACCAGCTACTAAGAAGGAAAAAAATAACTGTTAGAGCTGAATCCAGGACAGTGTCCACCCCTCATTCCATACCATTCACACCATGCTCAGGTCCCATGTTTTTCAATATGCCATCGCTTTTTGTCTCTTGATAGATATATATATGTACACGTACATACACACACACACAAAGAGACAGATATCATTCCTCAGTCCATGGTCTACCCCTATAAAGTTTGTTGAGACCATTTAGACCATGATGTAAAGCTTCCATCTGTCGTAACTGTCCTTCGGAAGAGAAGAGATGGTGTGTGGTGTTGGATTGTTGCTGGCTGACATCACTGTTGAGCTTAGCTGGATTCATCAAAGCTCATTCCTTGTTGGGGTGATGATCAAAGGGAAGTCGGGTTCAGTCAGTGGTGATCTGATGACAATACTGGGAGATTCATGCTGCTGCTGCTGGCTTTCCATGACTTTATTCTCTGCCGATGATCATGACAGCACATACATTATTTTCAAAACCCAGAGTGGCAGAGATGGGTATTTAGCTGTTCTAGAACTGCTACACAGCAGTCAACAGCATATAATTGAGTTCATTGGCTGTTTTCCCCAAAATTAAATCCCCTTGAGGTACACACCAGACTTTACCATCTTCCCGCAAGGACACCCAAGTCCTTGAGCAAAAGCAATCCCACGAATGGGATTTCCTTTACCGGAAGCAGGAATAACGCAGGCTCTCTTCCCCAGCAGAATCTTTATGTGCACCACAAGAAACTTTATCCCCCAATACAGTAAATAAAACTTCTAATTGGGCTGGGCCAGCACTGTTGGCAGATCCCCTAGTGTTGACTAACTAGGTGACTTTTGCCAAATGTGTATCCCAATGTTTGAAAGTCCCACCAGCCATTGCTCTCAACATAGCTTTTAACAGCCTATTATACCATTCAATTTTCCCTAAGGCTAGTGCATGATAAGGGATGTGGCATACTCACTCGATGCCGTGTTCTTCTGTCTAAGCGTCTATAAAGTTGTTCCAGAAATGATTCCCATTGTCTGACTCAGTTCTTTCTGGGGTGCCGTGTCACCACAAGACTTGTTTTTCAAGGCCCAGGATAGTGTTCCTGGCAGCGGCATGGGGCACAGCGTATGTGTCCAGCTTTGCCTTGGTGGGTTGGTGGGAGTGTGATACAGCCAATCTGCCAGACCTCCTTGTATTTTTACTTCAGCCATCGACCTCAATAACAAGAGACTTTAAATGTTTGGCTTGCTTAATTTCAGCAGGTTTCACATTCACTGCATCTCTGCCTCATTGGCCTGAAGTGTCATGGGACCACCAGGCTAAAAATAATTCACCCTTATGTTGCCAATCTAAATCCATCTGAGCCACTTCAATCTTTGCAGCTTTATCCACCTGTTGGTTGTTCTGATGTTCCTCAGTGGCCCTACTCCTGGGGACTTGAGCATCTATGTGGTGTACCTGGGAAGCATTATCTTGCCACAGTGTGCTGTGCCCAGATGGGTTTACCTCTGCATTGCCAATTGCTCTGCTTCCATTGCTGCAACCACCCCCACAAGGCATTTGCCACCATCCATGAGTCAGTATAAAGTACTGGCAGCTTTTCTTGTTCAGCAATGTCCAAGGCCAGCTGGATGGCTTTCACCTTGGCAAACTGACTCGATTCACCCTCTCCTTCAGCAGTTTCTGCAACTTATCGTAGGGGACTCCATACAGCTGCCTTCTATCTCCAATGCTTTCCCACACTACAGCAGGACCCATAAGTAAACAAGCTATACTGCTTCTCACTTTCTGACAGTTTATTGTATGGTGGGGCCTCTTCAACACGCATCACCTCGTCCTCTGGTAACATTCAAAAATCTGTGCCCTCTGGCTAGTCCATGATGACTTCTAGGATTCCTGGATAACTGGGATTAACTATTTGAGCTTGTTGTGTGATTAGTACTGCCCACTTACTCCATGTAGCATCATAGCAGTCATCCAATATCTGAAGGGAGCCTATAAGGATGCTAGAAAAGGACTCTAGCGATAGGACAAAGGGTAATGGGTTTCAACTTAAACAGGGGAAGTTCAGGTTAGATAGAAGGAAAAAGTTCTTTACTACAAGGGTGGTGAAGCACTGGTCCAGGTTACCCAAAAAAATTATAAATGCTCCATCCCTGGCAGTGTTCAAGGCCAGGTTGGACAGAGCCTTGAGTGACATGGTCTAGTGTGAGGTGTCCCTGCCCATGGCAGGGGGGTTGGTACTAGATGATCCTAAGGTCATGTCCAACCAAAACCATTCTATGATTCTATGCGCAGAAGAGATCCTGCTTTTGAACATCCTACCCAGCATAGGCAACCAGGGTGCCAGCAGGAGCTGTGCTTTAGTACCAATCACTTCAGAAGCAGCTTGAATCTCTTCAGCTGAAAAAGAGATACTGGCAGTTTATGAAGTAGAGCTGACCTCGGATGCTCTGTATCCCTAACTCCAAAAGGTGAGGGGTCAACCTCAAATCTCCCCTGGAACTTTCTGCCAGAGGCTCCAGGTAGGACCATTCTCCCTGGCTGCAACGTAAAGCACATTTTTCACACCTTGCCCAGTCCTGACTAGTCCAAGGGCTACTGAATGAACTATCTCTAATTTAACTTGTTCAAAGGCTTGTTGTTGCTCAGGGCCATATAATGAAATAGTTCTTCCAGGTCACATGACAGAGAGGGTTTACAATCAGACTGTAATTTGGAATGTGCATTCTCCAAAACCCCACAACACCTAAGAAAGCTTGTGTTTCCATCTTATTAGTTGGTGGAGATAT